TTCAAAGGTAGAACGGGATGTACTCCGTGGAGGAGGTAGAATGGGGAAAATCCAGTTGCACGGCTGGTGGTAATATTTTCAGCAAAAAGTGCCTAAGGAATTTTCTCAGGCCAATGTGAGATGTGCTTTCCACAACTTTTTACTATTGCTTCTCTGATATTGAAATGTCCACAGTTCAACTACCCCATTAGCCTGTGAATTGTAGGGTGATATTTGAATCTGTGGAATGTCCACTTGCTGAAGTAACTTTTGAAATGCTCCTTTAACTTCTGAGCCATTATCTGTGACGATCTGTCCTATGGCACCATATCAGCAGTACAAGTCTTCCCAGAAGAACTTGGCCATAGATTTAGCGGATGCAGATTGTAATGCTCTACCTTCTATGAATCGTGACAGAGTCGTCTCGAGCTAACACTAGATGCTTCAAACCTTTCCCGGCTGGCATCTTGAGTATGTCAATATAGATCTTCAGTGAAAATTGTGGCTGGCAGTAGAGATAGTTATGGATATATGCATTTTCTTAACTGTGTGGGTATCACAACCTGGCAGGCACATATAAGAAAAGTGCTCAGCCAGTATAAGTGAGTCTGAGCTCTGCCTAGCTGCTATACTTGCAGAATGCAAGAACGTTCGACCCTAAAGGGGAAGCAAAGAAAGCAAGGATCCACGGAATGATGCTGAACAACCCTAGTGAATGGCGGTGAAAGTGCGAGAAACGCGCTGAAGGCGCGCGCGGGAAAGCGAAGTGCGAAAGTGCGCGAAGCGCAGGGAAGGTAGTGCAAGTGGTGCACAAGTGTAGACGGTGGATACTGAGACTGATAAGGGGAAAGTGCGGATCTAGACGGCTACTGATAGTGCCACTAGCTATAGACTGATGCTAGGGCCTCAAAATGATGATGGACACATGCATTGCATGGAACTAACTGGTGATAGATACTGAGTGGTAGGAAGCTAAGGTGGTAGGAAGCTAAGGTGCAAATCGAACATGAGTGTATGTAAGTTCTACCTAAGCACTCTCCCAGGGCTCAGAGCCGAATATGGAGCGCTCTAAGTATGTAAATGAGGTAAAGTGATGTAAAGTAAGGGTCCATGATGAAATAGGAAGTGTAATATGCCAAATATGGTCAGATAATGAAAGGGACATACCGAGGGACTGGTCGGACAATGGACGGATGCTCCTGGATGCTGTGCGACGCAGGGCACTTAAGCGCAAGAAAGCGCGCAAGGCGTCGCACGTGGGAATACTGCGCATTGTGCGGGAAAGTGTCGCACCTATGGCACATTTCGCGGGAAAGTGGTACACTCTATAGGGAAGTCATAGTGGATGATAGTGCGAGTTGTGCAGTAAAGGCCAGTCATCAGAATTCTTAATATGAGCCCATATGTGCCTGCAGAAATGCGAGTCTCTACAACGGTTCGAATCTGACAATCGTGACAGGACTGTACATGGTGCTTAACGTTGGTATACATATGAGGCCAGAAAAATCAGTATTGTATTGTCTCAAAGGTGGACTGAACACCTTTATGACCTAAATCTTCATGTGCTCCTGTGAGTATAGAAATTCGCTTATCTGGTTCGAAAATTACAAGTAAGGGTGGTCTATCTTGCAGACGTTTATACATTCTTCCCTTCTGTACGAAAAACCGAGTGGTACGTTTAACAAATTTTCTACACTTTGCAGTACTATCAAAGCTTGGAGCTTCTAATGTGGTGAGGAATTTGTAGATGTTTGTCAGTGTCTGCTCCTGATCAGCAGCTGACAGGAGTGTGGATGGTAACTCAGTTGAGTTGTATGGAAGTGTGGATGGTGATGTGATAGATGTAAATAGTGCTATTTCATCTAACCAGGAGTCGTCTTCAGGGATAATCTCTTCATCTGAGGCAACAGGGCGTCTAGATAAGCCATCTGGGCCTTTTGAAACTGGTAGCAGGTACGTGGTGGAGTGTAAAGTTGAAAAGGAGGATTCCTTGAATCCATTTATTGATTGTTGCATTAGGTTGAAGGTCGGGCTCATTAAGCATGCCCTTAATGTATTTTGCGTCAACTTCAACGTGAAGGTTCTGTACTCCAATTATATGAAGTCGGTAGTGTCGTAATGCTCGGAAAAGTTTGTAGAGTTCCAGCTTAGGTTGTGAATAGTGTGATTCTGCTTCTCCCATTGGTAGAGAACCATATCGAGCTGGACGTCATTTTCCGTCATCATCAATCTGTGAGAGGATGATTCCTACAGCTATGAAGCTGGAATCTACTGAAAGGTATACGGGGTTTGAAGAGGTATAGTCGATGCTTCTCATTGCTGGTGCAGAGCATATACATTCTTTCAAAGTCTCAAATGCATAGTTTTGTTTCTCTCCCCAAACAAAAGGGGCATCTTTTCTCCAGAGCTGAGTAATAGGTCTGGCTAGCTCAGAAAATCCTAGTATCCAGATACGAACTGTCCCACAAAGTCCCATAAATCCTCGTGCTTGTTTGACTGTTGAGGGGATTGGCCAATTCAAAATCTTAGATACTTTCTCTGTATCGGGTCATCTTCCTTCCGGTGTGCATCGCTGTCCAACTATGAGGACATCAGGAAGGCATAACTGAATCTTGGTAGCGGAAAAAGTGGCACCAACATCATGTATATGGTGCATGATTCGGTGAACATCATTAGCGTGTTCCCAAATAAATCTTCTAATCCCTGAGTTTTCTTATAAGACTTTGGGATTTCCTTCATTGTCTGGGTAGATTGTCTTCGGTCCTTTGACAGGAAGATCATCTATGAAAACATTTGCAATGTGTGGGATCTCGTCCTGCAGTACAAAGCTAGTGCATTTCTGAAATTCTGCAGGTGCATTGGTATATCCCATAGGTAATGCGGTTAATTGTAGCAATCCTAAAGGAGTTAGGAAAGCTGTAAGGTCTCTGCTATCTGGGTGCATTTTGGGTGCATCAAATCCCCAGAATAAATCGAATACGGTGTAACATTGCGCTCCAGCAAATATGATTCTATGAAATCATCGTACCCTATCGGAATACGTCCGGCATCGTGGATAGATATTTTTTGGTTGAGTGGTTGAGATCATGAACTAGTCGTATAATTGCCCATTCTTTCTGAGTACACAGACACCATCAAGAGGAGGTCGATAAGCTGACTGGCTCGGTTCGTATACTCCTGCGTTGATTTTTAATTTGAGTAGTTCATAAGCTTCTTTCTGTTGTAAATCCTGGGGAGGAATAGGAATATTCTTGTAATTCTCCGGGGTAATGAGGTAATGGTAGGAAAGTGTGGTGTATAGGTGGGTGCAGTATGATTCTTTTATTAGGGTTACCCCTATTGGTTTCCTCAAAGCAGGGTGTCTTGGTTAGATTCATGATATGTTTGAAAAGTTTTCTCTCTTCAGGCCAAAGAATTCCTTGTGGATTTATTTTTAAGCTATCCATATATTCTCCTTGGGATAGTTGGCCAGTAGAGAATGAATTTGGGAGGCTTCAGGGTATTGGGATTAAATTATGGAGGGGGTCGTGTGGAAAGTGACGATCTACGCAAGCTTCCTGAGGAAAGGTTCCTGATACAGGCTTAACTTTCTTATCAACCCTCTTGTACATAGATAGTACTGGAGTGTTCTCAGGTTGATCAGTAGGTTCGCATGAAATAAGGACATCAGACTCACTATCGGTATCATATTCATAGTCTGAGTCTTCTGGATATGTGGTTTGTAATGGTACGTGTTTGCTTGGGTTGAATTGATTTGGGTATTTTCTAAGTCTCTCATAGCACTCTGCTATTAGAGGGAATAAAACATGTCAATTCTCACAACCAATTCTGAGTCCGATTTTCGGCTCGATTCTTTGACTTGAATTGATGCCAACTTTGAACACCCCCGATTCTACTTGCAACTTTGCCTCTGAATCATGCATGATTCTCGCTCATAGCACCTGCTTTGTCAGTGATCTCAGTTAGCATCTGAAAAGTAAGATCTTCAGTCCATCTGTAGTTGGGCATTGTTGGATACTAATAGTAACAGAACAATAGGTCATGCACTATGATCTTCCTGACCCTTTGATCCTCTCTTGCCTGTTTTGGTGGGCTGCTTCTTAGCTTTCGCATCAGCGGGCTTAGACTTTGCAAGTGCATTTTTGGTTGTTGCTTTCGCTATGGTACAGCTAGCAGGTTATAACAGCAGTAGGCCCTTTGAGTCATAGTGTAGGGGACAGTGTATTTCTTTGTGATATGTTTTGAATGGATATTTCGCAATTTTAATTCACATGGAAATTACAAAATTGGACATGGCAACATGATGTTGATGAATTGATGATGAAACGAATCGTTGAAGCGGCTCCAGAGCCGCTTCAACGATTCTTGTTGATTCTCAATTCTACCCAATTCTGTCATCTAAAAATTGACAACAGAATCGGTGTGAGAATCGACATGTTTGATTCCCTCTATTGTCTCATCTTCAAGTATATCTTGGGGATAGACTAATATCTCGGTGCTTGAGGCTTTTCGGGGATATGTGAAAGACTTAGACTTAAAGTGTGACTTTGTTTGAACTTAGGAAGTTTGGATGAAATTACGGACCGCAAAAGACTCGAATTACAGAACTGGTAACTCATATCTAAAGCTATCACTTCTTGACTTTTAACACCTTTCTTCATAGCCTAGCTATTGTACACAGAAGCCTGCATTGTAATTTTTTGTAAATAGGCCAAAGCACTAGAAACAATCAGGACAAGCAAAAACAAACATGTCGAACAAGGCGTGAGAACTAAAAACGGAGTAAAAATGGTGATATAAGTACATAGATAATGATTCAAGGCTCCGAGGGTCCATTTTTTTGAGGTTATACGAGTTTGTTGCTGAGGGATAAGAGTCGAGATAGGAATGAACACGATGGATAAAAATACGAGCTTTGAACTTGAAAAAACGAAAACGGAGTTGAATAATCTCGATTACTGAAAAAACAGGGTATAAGTGACCAAAAGGGTATTGAAAAACAAGAGTTCACCTCTAGGATGCTAGAGAAAGAACTTTTTCGATTTTGAGTGTTGGTCTTCCTCATCCTCTTCGTTAATATCCGAGAGTATATACCATTCATTTGAGAATCCAAGGTCGTCAAATTTCTTGGAGCGAAAAGGGGAAGTAGCAACAATAGCAAGTCCGGTGCATGTGATGCCAAGTACAAGATCTCGCTCATGTGTGAGGCGCAGTATATCTTGGGAAGTTCCGATGTTGAGAAATTGTGATTCAGTGAGGGTGCTGACAATATCTTTGTTGGGGAAAGGCATGAGTAGGGCATCTAGGATCTTCGAAGCGAGCTCTGGCTCTCCATGTGCTTCGGCAGCAGCAGCATAGGCATTCAGGCGCTTCCTTTCGATTTCGGAAAAAAAACAGGTTAACATCATCATAATGACCAGCATAGACTTTTTCAGTAAGGCCCCCTTGGATATGCAAGAGGTTATCACACTTGATAGTCTTTGCATGAGTCGTGGCTTCGGCAAGCATGCGAGTGGATAAGACGGTGTCGAGAACATTAATTATGTGGCGCATGTGTGCTCGGTGGTCACGGAGTTCAGGAATGCGTTCCTGCCATGTTCTTCCTAAACGAGGACCGCCCATGGGGAGTTTAATACCCCCAGAAATAACAGGATGACCAGCATATGTCCCATCTCGGAACATGTGGACATTCCAGTCATTGGAGATGATGTTGACCTGGCAGGAACAGAAAGACTCAATGGTGTGGATCACGTTAGGGATGTAAACAGAATGATAATCATTATATTGGGCATAGGTAGAGGTAAGGTACTGTTCAGCATGAGCATTTGTCAGTCTGTCGAACAAGATTGTGGTCCTCCCATCAGCGCGCAAATGGCCATGGTAAGGGATATCACCAGTTGTGGGTTCGAACGATTCTGCAGAAAGACTGAGCATAGGTACGTCTTCCTCATAGATAGATGCTTTGGCATGTGCCAGTTTTGGTTTGATGGGAGGAGGCTCTGCTGGTGGAGAAACATATTTATTTGAAGGCATTAGTGACGGCATAGCCTTGTTGTTGTAGAAGCTGGAGTTGGAGTTGGGAGGAGTTGAAGGAAAGATTGATGATGGCGTCATAGATGGTGATGGTGGGATAAGCATGGGTCCTCCAGTTGAAAGTGGTCGGATAAAGAAGATGTCGAAGGTACCGTCGACATTCGAGACACTGTCCCGAGAAGCCGGGGGTACAGAAGAAGGGTTGGATGAGTCATATGAAGGAGGACGGGTAGAGGCATTAGAACGAGATGGGGACTGCACCTTTCATGTTCTTTGACAACTTCTTGGATTCTGTTTGGGTGGCAGTTGTCTTCATTGTCTTCGTCCTGAGTAGCGCGTGCAAGAATAGTATTCAGAGCATCATAAAACCCTAGGACTTGCAAACGTCCACTTTCCTTGGCAGGTTGAGCTTCTTGAGTGATGCTTGAGTCTAGCATAGGATTGTCAGTGATGGTAGGTGCGTTATATTGAGAAAACAGACCTTCTGCTTCCTCCAGGGCTTTCCTTTCTAACAGTGTTAGTCCCTGGCGGTTCAGAAGGTTAGTAGGGATAGTATGAGCGGCAAGGATTTCGTCTTTGGGAGACGTTGATTGAGTGGCGTGATTTTCGTCTCTAAGAGATTATGGATAGGTAATACTGGGTTCAATCCATTTGTTGAGGGAGCGAAATGCATCAGCTTTGCCTTGAGTGGCCGCGATAAAGGTGGCATTGGGCATACAAGCCTCGGTAATATAAGAAACGAAATTGTTGTCCTGGATGGACGCTATGGGAGGAATTGTTATGAACTAGGATAGTTCAGACGTATGGCTACTCGATAAGAGTAATCGGCCAAGGTTGGTTCAAGGCTCTGGTGTATACCAGAGTTCGATGGTTCACTAAGACAAGACAAGGAGAGTGTCCTTGACTTGAATCAAGTTCAGACGACTTAAGATTGGAGGTCTTAAGCGAAGGAAGTTCCAGGTAAAACCTAGTAAGATTAAAGTAAAGAACTACATAGTACAAAGCGAGTTTATATAGTGAATGGTAACTGCTTTAGGGCAGGTATGATGAAGTCAGAATGAGTCAGAGATAAGGACGAGTCAGAGATAACAAGAATAGGTCATCTAGTGACGGCTTGATAGCGATCATGATGTAATACAATTATTCAGAGATAAGGCAAGAAAAGATAAGTCTAGCGACGGCTTTGATAGTGATCGTGACGTAATACAAGTAAAAGAAGGAAAAATGAATAGGGGCGTACTTTGACTGTAACATTACCCCGTTTTTATTGTTGAAGTCACCGATTTCAACATTCATAATTATTGTAAGTGTCATAGTTGTCACGGTCTCCTGCACATTGAGAGAATAGTTTCTCGTCTTCTTCGACTGAGATCTGTTCTAAGGCAGCATCTTTATCAGCCTCCCATCTAGAGAGAGCATCGTAGAACCCGTTGTCCGTCCAAACCAAAGGGATTACTGCTTCTCCTTTGAGTTCTTTGCAAAAGACCGACAGGTGTCCTGGCGCAAGGTTACAACATACACGACAGAAATATGTGGGACAGTTCTTGTGATGATGGCCAGTAAGACCACAGTTATGACAAATAAAGTTATCGCAATCTTCAGTCTTTACGATGGTGATGGAGGATTGTTGTGAAGGCAGTGTGACAATCATACCAGCGCTGGGCGCGTATGAGTGTCATAGGCATATTTTGCCTTGCATAGAGGAAAAGAGTAAGGCACTAGTCATCAGCGCTATTCAACTCCCAAGCTATCCGCTTTGGAACCGCTTTCTCCCATAGCGCGCTGCCCGGCCCAATGCCTAGGTATTCCGTCCTCCCATGTCCTGCCTATGTCCACCTACCTCTGCTGGTGCGTTATTTTTCCTTAAATGTCGCTACTCATCAGTCGCAGGTCTTTTGCATGTATCCTTGTGTTCCGCAGCGCAGCATGTTTTCTTACCTGTCGCTACATTGTGCCCTCGCCAGTATCGCTACTGTTCTCGCCTACACATTCCCGAACTTTTACGCAGTATGATAAAATGACCCGTCGCACATACAGTACAGTACTTCCCTTCCCCGGACCTTTGCTGGTGTTGGAGTCACTTTAGTTGCTATATCCTAGTCTTGGTGCAATTGATTCCGCTCTTGCCAATCTCTCTGATCACGTGTCGCTTGACTTGCTTTAAGTGCGAGTCGCTAAAGTTCCCTCATAAGTTTGACTTTCGCAATGTCGGGATCGTTATTGGTAGTTGAGCTATAATCTAGTCACTATTGGGCATTTCACTTGCACTGTCTTACCTTATTCCTCGCTTTCCCTTCCTTTGATTTCTTCTCGCTGTCGCTAGTCAGACGTCGCATAGCGCTATCGCATAAAACAACTTGCATAGCACTACTCACTTATACGCACGTTTCTCTGTCAGAACTCACTAGTCGCTAGTCACTTATTGCTATAGCGCTACTCATTAGTTTTTGGTCTTAGGTCGCTATAGGTTATTAGTCCTTCGCACTATCGCTACCCTTGCATATTTGAAGGGAGTTGCTTCAATAGCAGTCCTCTTGGGTCAAATACTACACTCGCGCCTATTTGGATAAGTAGCGCTAGTTTCTAACCAGCCTAGTTGCTATTTCTCTTTCACAACTGGAGCCCACCGCGAGGGGGCCATTTGAAGCTGGAAGGCACACCGCCTAGACCTACCAAGACCCGAAAACCTCACGACCTTAGCGACATTTCGCAAGAAGATTTTTTCTACTCAGTAATAGATTCCACCAATGAAGAAGTTGAGCGCGCTGCATTTGACTCGCGATCCCGCTCATCTTTGGAAGCTACTGTTATCCGCCATCTTACCTCCGACTTCAAAGAAGAGGAAGAACCCCTCGGACAATTAACATCACATTACCTTCCGCTCCCTTGAGTTCTGTTCGTTACTGTAGACACTCCCTCCACCGCATCATCACTCACCCCCTCTACTCCGTCTCACGACGATTCACCCGAAAGGCAGAACCTTTTCATACCCACCTCCTTCATACCTAGCTCTATCCCGTCTCCGCGAAAGCGACTAAGCACTCTCCTGCCATCCATACCCGACCCCACTATTCATACCGCATCTTCCTCGACAGCACCATTTACTACCGCCCTTCCTCCAGTCGTACAACCCGCTCGTTTTACTCAACCTGCTCAAACCATCATACCCGCCATCATGTCTTCCGCACCATTCAAGATGCCTCTTAGAGGAACCGACGCTGCGCCAAAGTTCAATGGCACACCAACACGCCTCATACCATTTTGTGAGGATGTGGAGTTACTTGCTGACTATGCAGGACTTACTGCTGAACAGTGCATCAAGGCTGCGATCCAATACGCGCCCGTTGACAAATCGGAAACATGGGCATCAAGACCCACTGCGAAAGGTAAAGATTGGGACAAGTTTGTTGATGCCATCAAGGCTATGTACCCAGGATGTGAAGGCAATCATCGCTATGCATGCACTGATTTGGAAAACCTTTGCAGAGAACAAGTCCGCAAACCGATTCACTCGAAGAAAGAACTTGGACAGTTCTACTGCAAGTTCTTTCACGTTTCACAATACCTCCTTGACAAGAGTAGGATAGCAGAACTCGAGCTCGGTCGCTACTTTTAGAAGGCATCCATTCCACGGCCAATACCGCCATCAAGCGAAGGTTAGAGATCAAGCTAGTCGACCACCATCCCAACGACCCATACACCTTGGAAGAAGTATACAACACAGCAGTATTCTTGCTACCCAGCATCGCGCCCACGGTAACCACTGTTTCACCTCCTAGCGCGCCCGCGACTAACCAGCAACCCGCACCTCAGCAACCCGCCACCGGAACTGTGGTAAAACGAGAGTATAGCCAGATGCGACCTCTCTCCAACAACGTGTGTTATTTCTGCAGAGGAGATCACTACACAAACCGCTGCACCTTATGCTGTCCTGCATGATTTGGGAATCATGCATGGACATGACTACTAGGTATCCCCCTAAAAGACAAAGTCTGTTAGCTTAGTCCTCAGACTAGTCAACCCATACCTTGGTATCAAACCTTGGTCCAATAGTTTCAGTTTTCCCTCAGTGATTCATGAATCCACCATGTTTTGAAGAAAAGTCATATGTGAGATGGGAATCACATAATGACCTAGTTGATATGAGAAGCAAAATGAAGGTTAAGGTATTGCCTTTCCTTTGGCTTATTCACTTTGGCTAGAGAAACCCATAGAGAAAAGTTCAAAGCCTAACAAAAACCTATCTAAAAAGCCTGTGTATTGTGTACTATTATTTGTTCCATTATTTCTGAGTTGTTTTCTCTAGTGTTTCATTACTTTACTTTTCTATTAGGATGCTCTGACTAATCAGATGCTTCATAAAATTCTACCTACAGGGTATGATGTCATAATGATGTCATAGGACTTCACCCACACTCCTGCAGGTATTTTGTTGAAAGATATGATATCATGTTCCATGGAATTTGCTAGAACATTCCAATGACTCATAATGACTCAGAATGATGTCATTATCCCACCATGAATATTCTGGAATGTTTATTTGCACCTGCTAGAACATTCTGCTCCAGTTTTTAGAATATTCTTCTCACATTCTGAAGTCATTACATCACCTTTTTACTTACATAATATTCCCACACAAAATGTATATAAGGAGAGCCCATTCTCCCCCAAAAAATAGATCTCCCACTTGTTGCATTCAAGAATCTCCCACTTGAGCAAATTGAACTCTCACCTAAGAAGCTTCAGTCTGAACAAATTGCTGCTTACAAAGCCCATTTCCTTTGTAAGAACTGTCCAGACAAGTGCAGGGAAAGTGTTTCCCTTGAGATTACATAAGTTTCTCGCGATAGAAACCCAGTTTTGTGAGACCAGTGTTCTCACCACATAGTGTTTACTGACCAACACAAGCTTTGGTCACCATTGTTATTTGTGAGACCAGCGTTCTCACCAGGTATTTGTATACTGACCAACATTGTCGCTCCTCTGCAAACAACCATCGTACTTCCTCAGGAATTCATGTGTTTCGGGTTGGCCGCTCAGCTCGTTCACTGATATCGACCCGACTGTAACACGCTTGGTGGTAGTCATTTCCTTGAGCACCTTGCGGACGTCAGTGGATACTGCGATCAACTCCTGCATGGGTATGCTGATGCTGGAGTCTAGCATCCGGTTGATTACCTTCTTGTCGCCTTCCTTATCTTCCAGCGGGTGGGTATACCTAAACTGTGTAGAGGAGGGATTAGCGGTAGGTGGATCATAGGATGAAGTATTAGGTGCGGATGATGAGCTTGCTGGCGTCACCACTACTGTACCTTTGTTAGGCGTGCTGGTGGTCTTTGACCCAGATGCCTTCACTTGTGGAGATGCGACTTCCTCTACTGCGTTGGTAGTTTTAGAAGATGGTCCTGGTTTTGGGCATGGCAGAACATTAATGCCTTCAAACTGTATGTTCTTACCCTTGTCCTTGCGGTTAGCACGATCTGCTTTCACCGCTGCGAATGCATCGCGGGCTCAAGTTGCTTCTCTCTCTAGGTGGGCTAATTCTTCGTTGTCGGAGTCGCTATCCTCTACACTGGCACATGTGTGCATGAATGCGCAAGGCTCGATATCCAGAGTCACCTGAGTAGTGGGCTCAGCGCGACAATACATGAACCCTAGCGCTGTCAAGTTAGAACCTGTAGTGGGTCCATCGCGCAGGAATCTGTCTATGCGTTCCTTGAAATTCCCGTCAGAGAGCCTTCCAGGGATGTTGCTACTGTCGGGCATAACAATCCTCTTTTCTGGCGTGATGTGAATCTTACCCTTGCTGGCATATTGGTCGTGTTGTCTTAATAACCGAGGGTCTTATATAAATACGTGTAAGAATGTAATGACACCACAATTACACTGGATAAGACTTCTTGCCAGTCCTTGATTAACACGGTCTATGATGTTTCTTCTTTCGTGGTAGATAATGTGTGAGTTCTTGGGAGGCTTGCTAAACCAATCAGTCAGATTAACTTAGCCGGAGCTTTATTATTTCTGATTGAAACTATGGGATTGTCTAGGATATACTGTCTAGACACTTGAACTGGTTTCCTGAATATACGATTAACTGTTGAGAAGCTGGTCTCAAATGTGACTACGTTGACCAAAGCTCGTGTTGGTCAATATACAAATACCTGGTGAGAACGCTGGTCTCACAAATAACAACAAGTGACAAATAGAAAAACAAACAATGATAAATAACAACAATGACCAAAGCTCGTGTTGGTCAGTATACAAATACCTGGTGAGAACGCTGGTCTCACAAATAACAATGGTGACCAAAGCTTGTGTTGGTCAGTAAACACTATGTGGTGAGAACACTGGTCTCACAAAACTGGGTTTCTATCGCGAGAAACTTATGTAATCTCAAGGGAAACACTTTCCCTGCACTTGTCTGGACAGTTCTTACAAAGGAAATGGGCTTTGTAAGCAGCAATTTGTTCAGACTGAAGCTTCTTAGGTGAGAGTTCAATTTGCTCAAGTGGGAGATTCTTGAATGCAACAAGTGGGAGATCTATTTTTTGGGGGAGAATGGGCTCTCCTTATATACATTTTGTGTGGGAATATTATGTAAGTAAAAAGGTGATGTAATGACTTCAGAATGTGAGAAGAATATTCTAAAAACTGGAGCAGAATGTTCTAGCAGGTGCAAATAAACATTCCAGAATATTCATGGTGGGATAATGACATCATTCTGAGTCATTATGAGTCATTGGAATGTTCTAGCAAATTCCATGGAACATGATATCATATCTTTCAACAAAATACCTGCAGGAGTGTGGGTGAAGTCCTATGACATCATTATGACATCATACCCTGTAGGTAGAATTTTATGAAGCATCTGATTAGTCAGAGCATCCTAATAGAAAAGTAAAGTAATGAAACACTAGAGAAAACAACTCAGAAATAATGGAACAAATAATAGTACACAATACACAGGCTTTTTAGATAGGTTTTTGTTAGGCTTTGAACTTTTCTCTATGGGTTTCTCTAGCCAAAGTGAATAAGCCAAAGGAAAGGCAATACCTTAACCTTCATTTTGCTTCTCATATCAACTAGGTCATTATGTGATTCCCATCTCACATATGACTTTTCTTCAAAACATGGTGGATTCATGAATCACTGAGGGAAAACTGAAACTATTGGACCAAGGTTTGATACCAAGGTATGGGTTGACTAGTCTGAGGACTAAGCTAACAGACTTTGTCTTTTAGGGGGATACCTAGTAGTCATGTCCATGCATGATTCCCAAATCATGCAGGACACCGGGGACTTTGAATACTGAGTATCCCCACTCAGAGTGTGTCTGGTGAGGATCTTGAGTGAAGTCGGTGATAAGGGTACGTGATGATCGTCGAGTATGATGTGCGTGTGTTTCAGATGATAGTGCGACTAAGTGCAAAGAGGCGTGGCTAATGTGTGATGTGCGCGAGCATGGGAACGTGTTGCATAAGCGCAAGAATGTGTCACATACAGTGGTTTGTGCGAAATGACTCTGGTACAGGAATTGTGAAATGAACTCGGAACTATGATAATGCAAGGATGGCGCAGATGTGTCGCATTAGGTGCAAGGATGCAGCATGTGAAAATGCACAAAATGCAAAATGCAAAATGCAAAATGCAAAACTGCAAGGAGATGAATGCACGATGTGTGAAACTGCAAGGAAGCATGAGGGGATGATAGCGTGATGATGTCTATGTCCAATATATCTGTGGGGGTATAAGGCGATGCTAGGCGGTCTGGAAGCAATCCAATCCATGTCCAAACCAAGTCCCACTAGGCATGCTAAGTAATAGGTGCTATGGGATTGAATGGCATGAGTAAAACTATATTCAAAATGCGAAAGAGAGACGGCAAATGGTGTGGATGTCCAAGTCCGACTTGGCTTCTTTGTGCGGCTGTTGACATCTATTCCTTCCTATGGGTGTGGAAATGTGGGAAATCTGTGCGCATATGAGGCGCGTTCTAAGGTAAAAAGGTGCATGGTGCCGCTTCATGCATGCAAAGAGAAAATGATATCCTACTGGGTTAGGTGGGCACAATCTATGGTCTTTTGTTTTTCTTCTTTTCTTCTAGGTAGTTTTCTATAGGCGTATATATCAGCGCGTTATTAGTCCTTTGGACGACGTTATAATGAGGGAAAATGAAAATTGAAAAGTGGAGATCACTGGATGAAACCCAGGGTAAAATGAACTATATCCTATGAAAATGACGGTTTATGTGATGGTATATGGTATTGCAAAATGACAGAGTGGAGAAAGCAGATGGTGTGGATAATGATGGCGAGTGTTGAGTGATGGAGTGGGTGGGTCGGAAGCTGGCGTGTTTGGATCTTCTTTGTCAAGCTCTTCTACTTCTTCTCCTACCAGTGCATTCCTGGTCTTCTTCATCTATCTGAGGGTGCACGATGCTGCAGGTCGAAAGGCGCGTGAGGCGATGGTGGAAGGCAACTAAGGCAACTGAGGGCGGTGGTATCTTCATCTTCTAACTCTGCGACATCTTTTCCTATCAGGTATATTCCAAATCTTCTTCAAACGCAGCTTGATGGTGGACTAGTGACTGGCAGAATGAATTCTTGCACCTTGCGG